TCATTTCAGTAGCTAAAAATTCTATTCCTCTGGACCCCAGAGAAAGACAAAACCAAAGTATGCCCGCCCTGTCCCCTGGCAGAAGGCAGCCCAGTTTGTGCAAGTCGTAAATGGAAATCAATGTGCTCTTCAAAGAGCACTGAATCCCTTTACCAACACGCGCTCGCAGAAGGGGAGCCGAGAGGATGGGAATCGATGCCTCTCCTAATTCTGAAGCCCCCAGTCTTTACAGTAGCACAAGGGCCAGGCCAGCTGCAACGTGGCAGCTCAGAAGCAGCTGTGCACGTGGCTTCCCATGAGCCAACAGCGGCCTAAGAGCTTCCTCTCACTCCAGAAGCTGTGCCCAACCTGCCCCCTTGGCCACCAGCCGTGCCCAACCTGCCCCGTCTGCCACCAGCCTTGCCTCCCGGCTTTTACGGGGAGCTTCATAAACAGAAGCACATTCAATGCCTCCCGCTCCCACTCGCTGACTGTAGCACCTGCCTGCTTCTTTGGGCTTCTCTGCCTACCTGCCTTCTCTCTGGCTGGATCTTTCTGACTTCTGAAGAGATGATCTTCCCCGACCTTTCTACTCTGTCCCGACAATGATGTTTTCCCTTCACTTGACTTGCATGTCTCTATCTCGGTCAGTCTCATTTTGGGGAGCCCCTTTTGTCTCCTAGCTGCATTTCAAATCTCTGGGACTTTGGTTTATTCATTTTTAATTAGTTAATTTTATTAATTTTAGTTTTTTGAGACGTAATCTCGCTCTGTTGCCGGGATAGAGTGCTTTGGCATCATAGCTCAGAGCAACCTCAGACTTTCAGGCTCAAGCCATCTGCCTGCCTCAGCCTCCCAAGTAGCTGGAACTACAGGCACCCAACATCACACCCGGCTCATTTTTCTGTTTTTAGTAGAGATGGGGTCTCACTCTTTCTCAGGCTGGTCTTGAACTCCCAAGTTCAAGTGACCCTCCCACCTTGACCTCTCACTGGTTTGTTTTTAATTTTCAGTATTTAGATAACTGTGTACCAAAAATGAAAGACACAGATCCTGAATATACAGTTCAGTAAGTTTTGGCCTAACTAACTCTTTGATCATGATATAGAACATTTACAGTATCCTACAAAGTTCCCTCCTGGCCTTTTTTTTTTTTTTTTTTGAGACAAAGTCTCACTATGTCACTCTCAGTAGACTGCTGTGGCATCACAGCTCACAGCAACCTCCAACTCTTGGGCTTAAGCGATTCTCTTGCCTCAGCCTCCCAAGTAGCTGGGACTACAGGCACCTGCCACAACACCTGGCTATTTTTTGTTGCAGTTGTTTAGCTGTTATTTAGCTGGCGCAGGCGGGATTCAACCCTGCCACTTTTGGTGTATGTGGCTGGCACCGTAACCACTGTGCTACAGGCCCGGCACCCCTCCTGGCCTTTATTATTCAATCCTCTTCCCAGAGACAACTCTTCTCTAATTTCTATTTTCATAAATTACTTTTACCGCTCTGAAACTTTATATAAATGGGTGCATTAGCGTATGCAGGCGTTAGCGTCTCCACTCAGCATGTTTCTGAGGTTCATGCATGGGACTGACTGGGTCAGTAGTTCTTTATTTTGGGTTTTTTTTTTTTTAATTGTGGTTTTGGTTACTGACGCTGAATGATACATCAAAACTTTCTATGTGTTTGGGCTTTGGGATCCAAGATCTAAACTCTCTCACAAACAAAAGAGACAGAAAATTTGGGTTCAAGAACACAGGGAAGGAGTCAGCAGAAGTCCTCTGGGGCACGAGTGTCGCCACCTGTTAAATAAAAACTTCCTTTCTTTTGTGTTATGCAGTGGCCCCAAACGTAGAAAACTCCCTGGATTTCCAATTTTACAAAGCAGAAGATCTAAGAGAGCCTTTGAGGAAAAAAGTATTTCTCAGTCTTACTAGAGTCAAGTCCCAGGGAAACCCTGCCCACCCTTCAAGTCCAGCTCCACTGTCACCGTCACGCTCTCTGGCATTTCCATCAATCTGAGAGAAAGCGACTCCACCCCTCATCTTTGCTCCTCTAAGTCAGCCCGTGGGCCTTCCTGACAGTGCTTGGTATTTTGTACCACACTAGTTTCTTTGCAGACCTGACTCTACTTTCTACTAAAGTAAACCGTGGGCTCCTCAAAGAAATAGACACTTTTTTTAATTGACTTTATATTGCTGGCAGCTAGCCCAGCCATTTCACACACATGATGTAAGACAATGGACAAAGGGACGACTGCCTGGATGGGTGGATGGAACCATCAGTGAGTATCGCCATATTGCCTAGAAACTGAATGAGTTCTCTGGTATTTGAAAGTTCCCAGTAGTCACATTCCCATTGGTCCTGGAATTTCACATTAATCCTCCCACCACTGAGCAAATGACTAAGTAGCATCTACAACAAGTGAGACTTCCTAGCAAGCATAAAGTGTCCTCCCAGTGCTTCAGAAGTATGTGAGTGAGAGCTGGACGTTGAGCAGAGTCACAGTTCATCTTGTCAGACAGCCCAAGAGTCACTCTTGTTGCCCTAGCAATCCTCCTGGTACAGACGGGCCTGAGTGCCGAGTGAGTAGCAGCGGCAGCACTTGTGCTGCTAGCAGGAGACTGATGCAACGAGCTTTGTAGCTAACTAAAAGGTGACGCCGAGCCCATTAGAGAGCTTTGTAACACTGTGAATAGCATTTAGCACTCAGCTGTTCCTCACCCACCTCTCAGATGGTCCCAGCAGGAAAGGAGTCTGTGGCTGTCATGTTTATAGCTAATTAATGTTTATTTATATTTTTAAACAAGCTTTTCACCTGTCGTGCTTTAAAATAAATGTTCTACTCTTCAATTAGAGGTTGTCAGAGCAGAGAGGAATCCTGTGTTGTTGTGGGAGAGTGTGTGTGTGTGTTTAAATATGTACCAGTTAGGGAGTTCTTTTCATTTAAGATTCTCTCTCTCTCCTCTTGGAGCCTAAAAGCTTCCTACTCCGAGAGACACGCTTCTTCCAAGTTTTGACCATGAGGTTGGGACCCTGCAGTGCAGGCAGTGAGCTCACTTCCTGGGCAGACAGCAGAGTAGCAGGACCTACTAGGATCAGGGGATGATAAGATCAACATGAAAATATTATATGTACTTTGTAACCAGTTAGAACCAGGATCCTTAAGAGAAAGAATGAGCTTTGCTTTCTGTGTAATAAAGAATTAATTCAGCAAGTCTAGGGTGTTCAAACCTGCCACATTCTATAGAAAGATCTGCTCCTTAACTGGTTCATGGAAAATGAAAATTATAAATATTCCTTGAAATATTCTGCCAGAGATTGTCTCTTTTTATGTGTGGACCTGGGTCATACCAGGTAGTTGATGCTAACCATGTGATCTTTGATGGGAGTCTTGGGTCCTGAGGTATCAGCTTGTCCCCTGGAGAGGCTGGAGACTAAGTAACTAAGGTTAGCCATGTGGGGCACTCTGTGCCTATGTAACCGACCCTGATAAAAGCCTGGACACCAAGGCTAAGGTGAGCCTAGTTGGTAATATACATTGTTGCCGGTGAATTAAGTACTGTTTATACATTTCATCTGGAAGCTTGTACCTTGTCTCTCCAGAACTCTGCCATCTACGCCTTTGACCTTTGCTGATTTTGATCTGGATCTTCTCACTGTAATAAACTGAATGTGTGAGCATTACAGCTGTTCTGTGAGTCCTTCTAGGAATGCACCGAACCTCAGCCTAGTCTGAAGGAGCCTTATTCACTCTCTCCAGCATGAATAATGAGCAGAAGTTGAGTTTCAGGGTAGAAAAGCACATCAGAACTACATCACAATTCTGCCACACACGTCGGGGTGACCTCACATAAATCACTTTCCTTAATCTCTTTTGAGATCTAACTAAACAAGATTCTACGTTACATATGCATCCATTTTGTCAACAAATACTGGTTGAACATGGTGATCTGTGATCACATAGCAGATTCTAATGATAAGGGATCATTTGGCCCATATGTGAGTTTCCCCACCCTATTTTAAGTGTCTTAGGTTACGTGAAGACTCTGAATTTGGACACACGCCCTCCACGGTTTTACAGACAGGTGTGTTCACAGTGTGTAGTTAATAAATGAGCATTTTCATATGTAGAATGATTACTTTGCTACCATTTCCCTGTTCTTATCTCTACCCAAGTCCAATGATTACAAATAGTCTTTTTTTTTTTTTATCAGTTGTATAGTAGCAGAGGCTTGGGAGAGCAGAGAACCTGAAGGAGTGTCAGAATCATCTCTGGAATATAATGAGTATTAGCTGTACATGAATATAATCACATAGAGGTTTTTCCAAATACCATTCAATAGTTTTGTACACTTCCTTTCTTGTTCAATAAATGAAATATCAGAAAAACAAAAGCCTAAGTAATAAGACAAAATACAATTTCTTGCCCAGGTTTTACCAATGGGTATTGAACTGATCATTTGCCTGTGTTGTGTACCCCAAAGAGATACGTTGAAACTCTAGTCCCTGGTACCTGTGACTGTGACCTTATCTGGAAATAGGATCTTTGCAGATATAATAAAACTAATATGGGCCACCCTTAATCCAACGACTGATGTCCTTATAAGAAGGAATTTGGGATACGGACACACTCAGAGGGAAGATGGCCCTGTGAAGACACAGACAGAGATTGGAATTCTGCTGCCACAAGCTAAGAAGTGCAAGAGATCACTGGGAGCCATGAGAAGTTGGAAGAGCAAAGGACTCATTCCTGGAGCGGTCAGAGAGAACGTGGCCCTGCTAACACCTTAACTTCAGACTTGTAGCCCCCAGAAAAGTGAGCTAAGTTTCTACTGTTTGAAGCCCCCCTGCTTGTGGCAGGTCCCTGCAGCAGGCCTAGGAAATCAGCACATCCCCATCAGAACATGCCACATACAGGTCTCTGCCCTTTACCTTTGTTTTGCCTGGACAGAGTATAATCTGCCTCCTGGAAAGTAAAAGGAATCAGCCCAGGGGGCGGAGGCAGGGGGAAGCCAGTGACTCACCACGGGACTCAGGCCAAGGCTGCTGAGGTAGTGAAGGAGCCCTTTGGCGTGGTAGACGGTTGGCTGGAGATAGGCACGGGGACACAGCCACTGTCGGTTCAGATCTTCCCCTCTCAGTGAGCATCTGTGACTGCAGAAACAAACCACATACAAACACGTGCACATTTAGAAGGAAGCGGCTTGAGAAAAGAAAGCCTCACAAGACAATTAAACTAGCGAATATAAGTTCCCCGTGACTTGTGCCCAAATGGTTGAATTTTAGACACCAGAAAGCTGCAGATGCGTCCTGTGAGCTCCCAAAGTGTCAGGATTATTCACGGCCTCAGAAAGAACGAGAAAACGTATTTGACTTAGTACAGTGGGTTGTCGAAGTTTTAAGATGAAGTTTGAGAAATGTAGTTCTCCACTTTGTACACCCATTGAGAATGAATCTAATAAATTTCTCCAGTCTCTGGGACCTTCAGTCCTACAAATAACTAAGCTGAGGTTAATCTGCCATGCTGGTGTGTTATCTGTGATACATGCCTCTCCAGGTGGCCCAGTGACTCTGCCAGGTACATATCAGCACATCCCAGTGAGGAGACTGAGGCTTAGAAATGACTAAACATGTGGCCTGAGACCACTTAACTATGAGCTGGGCGTCCCACGGGGTCTGTTTGCCACCAACCCTTATGCACGTCCCTTAGTGTCCTGCTTCCTTCCTCAGCTACGTACAGAACGTAGACAGCATGACATTTACCTAGTCACTATATCTTTTTCAAAGATTACATGACCTCAAAATCATACAATCCCTCATTTTAGGAATGAAAATATTCCCATTGTAAAGTTCTGAGTTACTTTACAAAAGTCACCCAGATGTTGAGTGACAGATAAGACTGACTACAATTCAGAGGGAGGATACACAGGTGCTGAGTTGTCAGTAGAGGGATCCTAAAAGCCCCCCAGGAATGACCAGTGCAGACCATGCACAGGGGAAGGTCGCTGGAGGTTCGCAGCAGGCCTGCTGAGACGGTATTTACCCTACAGGGCTAAGAGGCGAAGTGCCGCAGACTGGGAGGATCAGCACTCATCTCCATCACTAGCCCTCCAGCACACTCCCCTCCTCTGCCCAGCACTCCCCATCCTTCCATATTTCATCTCAATGGGGTTGGCTCACATTTCCCTCCGAGCAATGGTGTCTGCTGGCCCTGCTGGAACTCCCCCATCTCTATCCATCCCTACCTATTCAATTCTCAAGAGGGCAACCCAGCAGGGAAACTTCCCCTTATTTTTTATTTTTTTTAAATTAAATCATAGCTGTGTACATTAATACTATCATGGGGTACAGAGTGCTGTTTCTATATACAATTTGAAATACTTTCATCCAACTGGTTGACACAGCCTTCATGTCATTTTCTTAGTTATTGTGTTAAGACATTTACATTCTACATTTAGAGAGATTTACATGTACCCTTATAGGAAAAACCATAGACGTGATCCCACCAATCACCCTCCCTCCACTTATCCTCCCCCCTCCCTTTCCCTCCCTCCCCCATTTCCCCATATTCTTGGGCTAAAATTGGGTTATAGTTTTCCTATGGAAGCTATAAATTAGTTTCATAGGTAGGGCTCAGTACATTGGATACTTTTTCTTCCATTCTTGGGATACTTTGCTAAGAGGAACATTTTCCAGCTCTATCCATATAAACATGAAGGAGGTAAAATCCATCTTTCTTTATGGCTGCATAGTATTCCATGGTGTACATATACCACACTTTATTGATCCATTTGTGGGTTGATGGGCACTTGGGCTTCTTCCATGACCTAGTGATTATGAATTGGGCTGCAATGAACATTCTGATACAAATATCTTTATTGTAGTGTGATTTTTGGTCTTCTGGATATATACCTCGTAGAGGAATTATAGGATCAAATGGCAGGTCTATTTTTAGTTCTCTACGTGTTCTCCAGATATCTTTCCAAAAGGAACGTATTAGTTTGCATTCCCACCAGCAGTGTAGGAGTGTTCCCTTTTCTCCACAACCACGCCAAACTTCCCTTTATTTCTCAGCTGTTGCATTCCACTGCTATTTGTTGCAATGGCATCCTAAGTTTCCTGGATCAGAGTCTTTATAAAGCCATCTTGAATGGGTTTTCACTTTTACTTCTCTTGCCCTCGTTATTAAACTAGGATCTTCCTGGAAGCAAGAACACTGTCCTGGTCACCATCAAAATCCTAAGATAGTAACTGTCAAAACCAGTGTTGAGTAAATAACTTGGGATGAATGAATACACTTAGTCTTAAAATTAGAAGCAGATTTATTTTCTGCATTTTTTAACACAATTTTCAATAAACCTTGGAGGTCAAAAAAAGAAAGATCAGCCTTTTCCTTGCACTACTTTTTCATCTCCCTGTTTCTGAAATTGTCTTTAAATATTAGCCCCCTGCTCCTTGCCAGAACCCCTGACAGCTCACTGGAAACCCAATTTCTCCATGAAAATATTTTGACTTGAGATATGGTAGACTTTGTGCCTCTTCCTCTCTACCTTTTCTTGTTCTTTCCATGCTTTTATTCCTCCCTTCCTCTTTTTGATAGCAATAACATCTAGAAACAGAGTTTCTCTGTTCTGCCTGGCGGCCAAGGACAAAGGCAAAATATGACGTAGACCTTTAATGCCAACAGCAACAGGGAGGAACAAGCAGCCCAGACTTGCTTCTGAGCGTATTTGCTGTATTTAAATGGAATTTCTTTTCTCAAATCAACATATTTGCAGGCACAACATCCCAGAGCCTCGGGATTATCTTTAACTGTTCTGTGATTCTCCTTGCCTTGACCTGAATTCTCATCAACGCTGGGGATTTGTTTTTCTTTGTAACATTGACTGTGATAAAATCAGCTGCGGCTTTTTAAAAGCATTTCTGTTTGTAAAAATGCAAGTGTTACATGTGTCCCATCGCCAGCAATTCTGCATCAGCTCTCGCGATGTCCTCTTTCCCCATGCTCCATAGAAACCAAGTTCAGGGGCAATGTCTACAGGAAAGGGCTTATGGGTTACCATGTAGCAGCAATACAATCCTAGACTGTGATTCCCAAAAAGAGAAACAATAAAAATTTGTACTGCAACCAAAAGTGGCCCAGGTTTTGGGTGAGAAGACCCAGTTTCAACTCCCAGCTGTCACCAGGTATGGGACTTATTTGGGGCCTCTTTGAGAGTCACCATTCTTGAATGTGGGGGGGAAAAAGATGCCTAAATTCCCTCCCCGGCTTATTTTAAAGCTCAAATGAAACAATACCTACTTTATATATCTCCATGGAGAAATATCTGTAGGACTCTAACTGCACCTGTGTCTGTGTCAGTGACTGTATCCACATCTGTCCACATCTTCATCTATATCTGAGATGGTCAGTGATGCCTCACACCACTTTGACCATGTTCATTGGTTTCTTACCTCATCCTAACTTTTTTCTGTATGAAGAATAATCAGGTAGTTACATGTCGGGAGAATGTGAGGGGGAACAACCTTAGCGAGGGCCTTCAACAAGAGGCTGTCCACAGTTTTAAGCAACAGATGCTCTGAGCACACTTAAGGGTAGAGGCAGTAGGCCAAACAGAAAAGAATTCATCTAATAAAAAAATACAAAAGAATAATAAGTAGAGATCACTGATTGGAATTTGGGCTGTTGAATACTGCAGAGGGGAGGATGTCATCTAAGATTATCTAAGGATGTAAATTTGGAGAGAAATTGGATCCATGCAAGACCTATCAACATTAGGGAAGCTCTAAGTTTGGGGCAAATTCTGTTTGTTTGTCTTGTAGGGTGGCAATGAATTATTCCACTGGTATCCATAGGTTGTATGGTTTGGAGAAGCCCATTTGATTGTATTTCTACTCAGGAATCTATGTGTGGCTATGATTCTGACAGCACCTCTGCGTGTGTCTATGGCCTTGGCAGTTCCTATATCTATGCAATTGCATAGATTATTATGATCTATACTATACCTAACTTGAGTGTCTTTCCTTTTACACCAGACCCATTGCTTCCAATATCCAAATCCATTTGGCATTTTGTGTTAATAATATCAGACATTCATTGCAGTCACAGGAATTGTTGCTGTTCTTCCCAGGGATTTGTTTTAAGCATTTGAAGATGAAATGCACCCCGTCTTATTATCTCCTATAGCGTCTCTGAAATGACAGCTGCTCCTTCTATGTGGAGAGAATTAGCAGATGGATGGCTATGAATGGCTGGCAATAAATTCAGTGCCTATAATTTCTGAAAAGCAGTCATCTCTCAAATAGAGTTTGAAGTCCCGTTTTGCTTCTAGGAAGAATAAAATGGTGATCATTGCCACAATTGTCACTCCATGTCTACGGATATGGAGGGCTGACTCTCCTACACCACTTTTAACAAGGGACTTGAACATGGATGGATTTTGCTATCTGCCGATGGGGGGAAGGGTATCCTGGAGCCAGCCTCCTTCAAATACCAAGGGATGACTCTTTTCCCCCCACTGGAAATTTCAAATTTACAGAGCAAAATCATCTACTTCCTTTTGGTATTCACAGGTGCAACATTTGATCCAACTAGTTTTCCTCTTTTGTAAAGCTTTAGCTTAAATACAGTCTACTTTAGGATAAATATTGTATCCACAAATGTGTTCAAACATCCAGTTTCTCTAGGCATGTTGCAGTTTTAGCCTTGAAATTTCTGCCTCCCAGGAAACCCTTCAGCAAATGTAAACTGAATGTTTGATCACCCTGTCTGGATCCTCAGTCTCAGAGGTGTTGCAAAGCTAGAATTCCTGATGCAAACAGGCTTGCATTGCTGTACACTGACTTTGAATATTGTTAGGTGGACCTGCCGTACTCAACCCTGGCTTGGGAATCTTCAGTCTCTATTTTTACCTTGATTATTTCACATACACATAATCAGCTTTACCTTTTATGCCTTAGCAGGCCATCCCTAGGAAGTCTTTAATCTTTAAAACAAGGTTTGAGGCTTGGCGACCATAGCATAGTGGTTATGGCACCAGCCACATACAACAAGGGTGGTGGGTTCGAACCTGGCCTGGGCCAGCTTAACAACAATGACAATTGCAACAAAAAACAGCCAGACGTTATGACAGGTACCTGTAGTCTCAGCTACT